AACGAATCGTGCAAGGCAATTCCTTGAAGATCCTTGATGAAATTTTCACACAAGTGTCGCAGTATTCATGCAAGACAACTTGGGCGACAGGGTATGCGATGTTGTCGTTGACGACAGCATTTGTATAGAAAAAATATACATTGCATTTTAAATCACGAAATGGATAATTATATTTGCGGTTTTGAGCACAATAGAAGAACTTTTTTCTACCTGTAGAAGGTCTATGTAGATCTTCCATCTATCTATAGAAAAGTTATAGAAAGTATATGTCCTATATATTAAACAATACTACAGGTATTGTTTAATATATAATAATGTATCCATTCAAAACCTGTAGAAGACATTATTCTATCTATAGAAAACTTGTAGAAGGTGTTGTAAACGTAGAAACCTCTCAGCTACAAAAAAAGTCTTGTATTCATAGAATACTATCGAAATGTTTAATTTCACCTCTAAACACCTCTTCATACCTAATTCCATGTATATACTTATTTCCGCAATATTGTTTATTGTTTACAGAATATTAGAAAACCTTAATTAATTGGCTTTGGATTTTCTCGATTCCGCATTATTTGTCTAACCGCAATGTAAACAAACACACTCACACATAGATACCAAATTAAAATTCTTCACTTTTATTAGTTACGAAAGCAATTAAAGCCTTTTAACATCTAGTTGCCAGAAAAACCACAAAAAAAAAAACTTAATTGAAAAATACAAATCCAAAAGTGAAGGTTGGTAGACCCCTTGAAAATGGATGTGACCTTGGCCGCTACAACACCTTAAAGATATCTATTGCACACCTTTTTTGGTTTCTTTACACCACAAAACGATGATGATTACAAAACCTACTTTCCTTGTATAATGTCAAAAATGCCTATGCGGCCGTCATAAGAGTATATCGGTACGAAAGCTAAGATAGAGGTAAGGCAATTTGTTGCGAAACTTTTGCAAAAAGGGAAAACCACATTTGAGGAAATTAACATTCGTTTGCAATATTAATTGGAATTGAACGAAAATTTTGTAAGCAGGACTAGGAAAAGAAAGAAAAAAACAAATTTCTAGATAACGTGTGGTTCAACCAAGAAAAGAACTGTAAGAAGTAATATGTCGATAAGGATTGTCTTAAATGTGTTTTCTCCCTGTAGAGGAGTTAGAACCAGTTTTTATACCCTACACAACTATGTTGTCAGGGTATTATAGCTTTGTGCAGCCCAAGAGTTTGAAACGGCGCGAAATATTGTCATATCTCGACTAGCTGAGTCGATCTAGACATGTGTGTCCGTCCGTCCGTCTGTCCATTATAATTTGTAATTATTCTGGGTCGTATATACTTGCTCCTGAAGAACATATACCTGAAAAGTTGATCGTATGTCCAAGAGGAGTTGTTGACCTTTAAATTGATACCAATTATATGGTTGTATATACTCTGATGTGGAAGTTATACGTATTTAGGTCAAGGTGACTATGTGCATAGTATTAATATTACCCCATTAGAGAACGGAATTGCCGCACTGATCGCTTTGAAATTGTACATAAAGTTCCGATAATGGTCAAGGACGACGCCTATAGTTTGCGGTAAAGTTGAGATTTCATTCAGGGGGTGCAATGAACCGAAAACTGTAATTTTTGTCAGATTTTCTAGTCGCTCTAGAGGCAATTATTATATGCAGAACATCACATAGTTTACACGGTGAAGGGGATCTCACCAAATACTTAGAGCGGCTGTTTAGATGATGGTCGGTCAATATTCAAGATCTATAATCGGCAAAAAGTGTGCAAATATCACGAAATATTGCCCAGGCTCAGAATACAGAACCGCAGAAAGTTTACTTTTCGTGGTTGTTGTGTAGGGTATCCGCTCACTGGTTTTGATAAAGATCGGTGAATATTTAGCGGGTCAAATAGACCCTGACTTTTGTGTGAAAAATGACAAAATTTGTATTCAATAGCGTTTATATTTACTCCTGAAGGACATATAGCACTGGTCGCTTTGAAATGTTCCATGAGGTTCCACTTATGGTCAAGAACAATGCCTATAATTTTCAGTGACCGAAAACTTAATGGTAAATGGAATCTCGATAAGTAATTAGCAGGGTTGTAATGAATATTGGGAATATTCGGAAATATATCAATGTAAGGAATAGGTGCTGTTGACCTCTAATCGGGCAAGAGGGTGCAACTATCATGAAATATTGCCCAGGCTTCAAATAAACAACCGCAGAAAGTAAGAGTTCCGTGGTAGTTGTTTAGGATATCGTATGGTCGGCCCCGTCCGACTATACTGCTTCGCTCACTGGTTTATACTATAATTCTTAGTAGGAATATATTCTACCCATTGAGAATCCACAATAGCGAATTACACCTGATTAAGTTGCTTCAAAATGCCGATACCGTGATGGATACCGTGAAAACTGGACCAGTATATTCCATGTTCAATTCCAAACATTATTGGAGTGGTATTCATGTATGTGCTATCTTAAATATTGCGAACTTTGTGGTGATTTCGTCAGACTAACGGACATTGCTAAATCGAAGTAGAATTTTTTCTGGTTTTTTCTGAAACGAGATACACTTCATGGGGTCTCAGGTGTATAATTTGATATACACTCCAATATGTGATGGAGGGTATAATAGTATAATATATATATATATATTCCTCGTGAAATTTAAAATTTCCTGCAAAAAATTCATCACGCCATTATTCAAAAATCTGTCTTTTTTATCCTCCTTATGAGCTCGATTTTGTAGCATAGTGCTATGAAGAGAAACTCTGTAGATAGATTTTTCTTCTACATTGTATACCTATGGAAAAGCCCGTCGATACTTAAGGTATCTCTTTAAAGGGTTTCCTATAGAAAGAAAACCTGTTGTTCCCACGTTATTGTATTTTGTTTTGCCATATCTTTAATGATTTGTTAAAATACGTTGTGATAAACAGCTGTTAAAGCGTTCAAAACTGTTTTTTTTATTTTTGGCAACAATCCAATTCAACTAAAGCACTTCAAACATATCTCATCGTCTGTGTCCGTCTGTTCTATATAAATAAATCAATTTTGACACTGATGAATTTGGTCGGATATGTTTTCGTTTTGTTTTCATTTTCTTTGCAAAATTCCACAGCCACATGTTGAACAAGGTTATTTATTTATTTGTTTTGCAAATCTTCCCTTGCTATTGGTTTATTATCTGTGAAATGGAAATTGAAATGGTCTATTATCTAATTTAAGCAACAATTAAATAAAACAGTTTTGAATACAATCGACCACTATTAGGGCTCACGACAAAAACCAAGATCCATGACAACAAACCAAATTCAATTCAATGAATGGGTCAATAAAAGCCAATGGCATTTTCGAAACAAAACTGTCACAAACAGTTGTTCTCTCCGCCAGCTTGCGTGACGGAGGGCCTTTGAAAATCGATTTAAATTTCAAAAAAAAAAAAACTTTTATGAACATGTCACGCAACAATGGCAAATTATGTTTTATTAAAATGTCACGCGATTTTCAAAGTTTCTATTGGTTTTATTTTTCTGATATTGGCATGAAAGCTCTTCAAATAAATCAATTTAATAACAATAACTTTCTTTGCCATTAGCATGCTTTATATGTTTATAGGGGATTTGTCGTTAGACTACATTATCTTATACAATCTACTTCAGTACATATACGAGGGCTACTCTATATGTTTATGGCATAAAAATAAAATTGCTAATAAAGAGAGATTTGTATGAGTCATAGGGAGTTTTTTTTTTTCAATAAAATAAAAATGCATGAATTACGACTACACCTCAAATGGTCCATCCCGTTAGTCCAATTTTGGCGGTCAAAATTTGCAAGTTTGAATGGTGAGTATTGGAACGGACTTAAGAGTTCCAATACTCACCATTCAAACTTGCAAATTTTGACCGCGACTACACCTCAAATGGTCCATCCCGTTAGTCCAATATTGGCAGTCACTTAAATCACTTCCAATACTCACCATTCAAAACTTAGAAGTAGTACGATTCAATAATGCCTCATAAACCTCATGGTCCATTTTCACTCTAAAATGGACTATTCTCCTTATTTGCGAACCCATTTTAAATTACAATTTAAATTACACTGCACAACAAATTCCAACTTTTTTGATAATTAAAGGGGAAATAAACATAACAACCAAAAAAGGAGGAAAATATTCTCCCTTTTAAAAACATTTGAAAATATTCGGATTAGGATTTCTCAAAATCCTTGCATTTTTGGTATTTGGTGTCATTCGCAATATTTATACCCTTCACCACACTGTGGTACAGGGTATTTTGTCTTTGTGCATATGTTTGTATTAGGCAAAAGGAATCGATGCATAGAACCATTTTCAGAGTCGATTTACGCATGTCCGTCAGTTCCATGTATTTTTGTGAACAAAATAGAGGTCGTATGTATGATCAGATTTCAATGAAACTAGGCACATGTCACTTATTAGGCCAAATGACGAACCATATTGAAATTGGGGAAAATCGGTTCAGATTTAGATATAGCTCCCATATATAGTTTCATAAGATTTTAGGTAAATGGTGGACCAAAAACCCCCAATATTTGTCCGATTGAGACCAAATTTTGCACAGAGTACTGAATTAGGTCTAGATTGATACATGCCAAGTTTTGTTGAAGACGGTTCAGATTTATATACAGTTTCGTCCTATTTTATGTAAATGGAGCACCATAGAATCAAATTTAAGCCGATCGGCACATAATTTTGCACAGCGTACTGAAGTAGGTCCAAATTTATTTTTCCAAATTGTTGTAGTACTGTAGTTATTGAATGGTCTGTAGTAATTGAATGGTCATGACACGATTGAATTACAAAGACAATTTTTTGCGTAACAAATTATATCGATCGGTAGACGATGAGTACACAATGGCACAAATGTATTTCGATGTCCCTCCAGGTAGGATAATCTCAAATGGCAAATTATATTCGATATATGGAGCAGGCTGTATACAATACGAAGACTTTGTGATGCGTTGGAATGTTCACTGCTGTATAAGTCGTCGGAACAAAAGAATATGCGGCTCAGGTTTGTGGATCATGTAATGTATCCAGCCACGAGACTGCTGTACTCCAATCGAACGCCATTCCGCTTCCGACATTAAGTGTGTCTTGGGCACCAATTTGACCAGCTCCTTTGGTAGCACCACATGCCTGTACTCGTACTTTTCATCGTAATATTTATCGGAATAGTAGATTTCCTTGCTCATGTTTGTAGATGAGAAACAAAGGATTCTTTTGTTTGCGGCTTCAGTAACGCGAATACCAAACGGGTGTAGATTCTCTGAAATTCAATCTCTGCGATTATTAAGTTTTGATTCCAGCAAATCTTGTTATAATCAGCAATAGATTGTTTCCTTTTGCTTAAGAACACAAATACTCCGAAAACTACGGAACAAAATCAATTCACAGGAAAAATACAAATTGTTCATAAATTTCAAATTGTTCATAAATTTCAGAATGGTACCCAAAGTGGTGAAGGATATCATAAAGTCGGCCCCGTCCGACTTTTGAACTTTCTTTACTGGTTTTTGCCATAAATATGAGGATTATTTTCGTGTAATATGTTAACCCTCAATCGATTCTCTGAAGGGGTATTTTCGACCCACTTTTCTAGAAATGATAACAAACTCTTTGTAAACGGTGAAAACGTGTAAACGATACTAATAAATGTATTAAACGTCATTTATTTAAATATAATTACCATATTCAGTTATTTTCAAGAATATATATATATATATCTGACTATTCCTTACTAGAACAAATAAAAACTTCGAAACTTTTTGGAGAAGAAAATTTTAAATATGGATTTGAATAAAGTATACGTAATTTCCAAATATAGTAATAGCTATTTTGTCAAAAACCTAATGGTTTTGGGTGGGTTTATGTCACTGTTGCTAACGGACCATCCCTGATTATAAGTCTCGGAATATACCTAAACTCAAAAAACAGTCAGAAATTCTAAATATATAAAACCTCATTTTAGGTTGGAAACCGATATTATTCTGCGTTTGTAACAAATTTTCCTACTAGATGTCGTTTTAAAACCATGATACTATAGACAAAAATATTCTCCCACAAATTTTAGTTATGTTACTGAAATATGTAGACGTCAAATTAAAACAAAAATCTAAAGTTTTGTGCATAGAAATTTCTTAGTACTTTTTCATATAAATTGTATGAAAGTAACATGAGATTTCATTTTTAATTTTTAACACTTTTTATACCACACTGTGGTACAGGGTATTATGTCTTAGTGCATATGTTTGTAACAGGCAAAAATAATCGAGATAGACCCATGGTTCATTTTGAGAATATGCATAGAATAATTTTCTAAGTCGATTTATGCATGTCCGTCTGTCTGTCTGTCCATGTTAAATTGTAAACAAAGTACAGGTCGCATTTTTGATCCCAATTGGATGAAATTTGGCACAGCTCATTTGTTTGCCCCAAGGACGAACCCTATTGAAATTGGAGAAAATCGGTTCAGATTTAGATATAGCTCCCATATATATTTTCGTCCGATTTAAGGTAAATGGTGCAGCAAAGTCCCTATATACCTTTCGATTTATACGAAATTTGGCACAGCGTAATGAATGAGGTCACGAATGATGTGTGCGCGAAAATCGGTTCAGATTTAGATATAGCTCCCATATATATCTTCGTCCGATTTATGGTAAATGGTGCACCAAAGTCCCTATATATCTTTCGATTTGCACGAAATTTGGCACAACGTACTAAATTAAGTCTAGAATTATATGTGCAAAGTTTCGTGAAAATCGGTTCAGATTTAGATATAGCTCCCATATATAGCTTCGCCCGATTTTAGGTAAATAGTCAACTAAAGTCCTTGGAAATCTTTTGACTTGCATGAAATTTGGCACAGCGTAATAAATAAGGTCTAGAATGGTGTTTGCCAAGTTTCGTGAAAATAGGTTCAGATTTAGATATAGCTCCCATATATATCTTCGTCCGATTTAAGGTTAATTGTGTACCAAAGTCCCTATATATCTTTCGATTTGCACGAAGTTTGGAACAGCGTACAAAATTATGTATAGAATGATGTCTACTTTCCTTACTGGTTTTCATTGACAAAATTAGATCAAGATTTTTTACTCTTCCAATGGCCCAATTATATTGATATTCTTATTATTCGAAAATATCTGCCGAGGGTCATGTCAACACTGATTCTCGTGCAATATTTAATTTTAACTAAAAATAATAAAATAATTTCCAATATGTAAATATATTGTATTTATATGCTTTATAAGGGAACACAGCTATTGTTGAAATTTGTATTTTTATGCCCACTTAAATATCTCAAATAATAAGATTCTGACAAATTAACAAGATTATTTATTATTTACATGTTTAATTGTGATTATTGAAATTGTAAACAGCAATTATTGTTGCTGTTATCTGCGTGCGTGTGTGTTTTTTTTATTCCACTGTTAATTATTATATCCGATATAAGATCGTTGTTGTTCACACAAACATTCCTCTGGTCCCCCATATTACATTACAAATTGTTTCAACCGAACAACAACATTCTTCAATGGTACGTGGCGCTCAAATTCTGATTTATTTTACATACACACACACACACGCTCATCTGAGTTTGTGTAATTGAACAAATGAATGTTTCATTTTTTCCCTCTCAAGCGACTGTATAAACATAAATAATACCGAAATTAATTAACACGAATGGTGTGTTGAACAAATCAGCAACCCATCCATTCCTAAGCCAGTACGGAAAAATGAACATCTGTTGGAGTGCTGTTGTTCGTAGTTGTTGTAGTTGGTTGCGAACTTTTTTACACGTGATAAACAGCAGCGCTATACTACATTCTGCTAACCGGTACAACAAATTATGTACGATGAGTGTGTGCGTGTGTGTCTGTGTAAATATATTCGCGTATGATGAGCAGAACTTTGAAGCGTGCCATTATAGTATGTAATATTTTCTTAATGGGATTTTCATATCAACACAATGGCTTGGAATGTGTAAGCTTAAAAATTGGGATAATTATTTTATAAGAAATTATGTTACCATTTTTTGATTCAAAATTTAGAGATCTTCAAAAAAAAAATTATGAGCGATATAGAAAATCCAATTGAAAAGGTCATGGGGAGTACTTCACGAAAATTGCATAAGATATCTCATAATTTTTAGGAGAAAGTAGTATAAACATGCGTTTGGTTCTGTTAATTTAAAAAATTAACTGGGAACAAATCGAACAAGTGAATCTTTTTTTTCAATTTTTTCGCAAATTAATCAGAAAAACCAGTGAGCGGAGCAGTATAGTCGGACGGGCCGACCATACGATACCCTACACAACTACCACGGAACTTAAATTTTCTGCGGATGTTTATTCCGAGCTTGGGCAATATTTCGTGATATTTGCACCCTCTTGCCCGATTAGAGGTAAAAAGCACCTCTTCCTCACACTGACATATTTTCCGAATATTACGAGTATTCAATACAGCTATTGTCCAGATTCCGTTCACCGTGGGTTGTGTTGTGATGTTAGGCTTTCATTTGTGGTCTATAGATCGACTCGAAAATAACACAAAAAATTAAGTTTTCGGTCCACTTTATTCCAAAATTATTATCTGATCATCACCGAATATTATAGACGTTGTCCTTGACCATACCTGCAACCTCATGGAACATTTCAAAGCGATCAGCGCTATAGTTCCGCTCTATAGAGTGATAATACATAATATACGAAAACGGAGATACCTGTAAATATTTATGTGTAACTCCCACATCCGAGCACATACAACAATATAATTGGTCTTAATTTAAAGGTCAACCACTCCTCTTGGATATAATATCAACTTCTCGGGTCTATGTCCTTCAGTGGTAAATATATATGCTATAGAATACAAATTTTGTAATTTTTCACACAAATGTCAGGGTCCTTTTGACCCGCTAAATATTGACCGATCTTTATCAAAACAGGCATGTTTATTCTTTGGCCCGATCCCCTTTTCTATGCAACATTTCACGATGTTCGGGCCATTATTGCGGCCTCTGGAGCGACCAGAAAATCGGACAAAAATAAATTTTTTGGTCCAGTTCATCCCCTAAATATTAAGCGATCTTTCTCAAAAACAATAGGGTTATTCATTGGCCAGGACCCATCCTACATGCAAAATTTCGTGAAGATTGGTCCATAACTGTGGCCTGTATCGTGTTTACAAATTATAATGGACAGACGGACGGACTCACATGTCTAGATCGACTCAGCTAGTCGTATATGACGATCGGTATACTTAAAGATGGGTCTAGGACCAATATTTCGCGGCGTTACAAACTTTTGGGGCTGCACAAAGCTATAATACCCTGACAACATAGTTGTGTAGGGTATAAATATAAATGTCCGAAAGGGATTAGTATTTTATATTCAACGAATTATGTTATACTGATCGATATAACAATTATATTAAAATATTTATTTAAATAATTTTTTTTATTTTCCTACACACATTATTTTTTACCCATTGTGCACACACTTCAATTAATATAGCTGAAGGAGATTTCTTGTGTCTTCTTTTTGAGGAAGTAGAATACACAATATGAATTTATAATGGGGCTTTATTACCAAATGATGCTCAAGCTAAGTTCAGCTCTCGTTTCTTTTTTATTTCAAGAATAAACCATTTCATAGTTAATTAATTCATATTAATGACATGTTGTTATGTGATATCACATGTTTTCATAATTTTACTTTGTAGTTTTAATCATTTTGATGACTTTTTTTGGAAAAATAGGCTGGTATTACAATATTAAATTAAACTAATCGGCGTTGATGTCAGATATATAACCTTCGGTAATGACCTATATATGGGCAATATTGACAATTTTTCAACATAACTGAAGCAGAGGTTCTCCCCTTAATAACTCGGGAATTATGCACAGCTTCAGTGTAATACTCATCCGAAGGTGGAAATTTTGTGCGATCAAATTTCTAAAAAAACTATTTTTCGGGCCAAATTTTTAGATCTGTCAACTGAATGATATGTGTACCCGCGATCAGTAAGTTTTTTTACGTTTCGGATGATATAAAATCTTCCTCGTGAAAATCTATCTACTAGAACGACGGGAACTGGCCTTCCAAAATATGGCAGATTTATTTGCGTTTTCTGTGGATAATTTCCGTTTCAATAAATGACCTGTTACGGATTTTGTACTTTTGCGAAAAGAGAGCATTAAAATCTTGA